CGTGTTTTTTCGAATCTTACTGGAGCCGATTTTACTTAACAGGTTGTGTTAAGAACATCGTTAAAAAGATTCATATTTTTACGAAAAAAGACATTGAATTAGTGTTAGCTGTACGAGTATGAGTGAGTGAGTGAGGTTAGTTTTACGCCGCTTTTAGCAATATTCCAGCTATATCACGGCGGGGGACACCACAAATGGGCTTCACACATTGTATCTATGTGGGAATCGAACGTGACGAGCGAACGCCTGTACTACTAGGCAACCGCTACGCCCGTACACGATTCTGAAGCAGGGAAGGGAAGCGTGAGCAGTGTAGGCAGTGTTCGTCCATGTGCAATGACGGTCTTTAACTTTAATGTCTAGTTAGTGCTTAGCATTTTATTTATATAACTGTATTTCTTGATTTAAAAAGGTATTGTGAAAACAGTCTTGTAATCTTCAGATATGTATGGTGTTTCTTCAGTTTTGCGCATGAATGTTTTCCACTGTCAAATGATCCTGTTTCAACGGTACATACCGATGAGATTGTGTTATGTATATCGGATTCAACAAAATTGTTTCTTCGTGGTTACATTCATTTGAACCGACATTTGTACATGTTCCATAAATAGCATTTTCAGTTCCAATACAGTCAACAAATCGCCTCTCTTGCAGCCATTCAGCGCGGGATGATCTATTTGGCCATGTGACGCGTATTTCCGGTGGCTAGGACTATATCGGATGACCAATCACGCACATTGGGCATGTGTACTTCCGCAGTGCAAACCGGCTTAGTCCGTGTCCTGACTGGTTGAACCATAACAAAGGCTTTGCCAGGCAGACACGACCAGGCCAGGGTTGCGGGAAATAAATCTAATGATAACCAAATATCGCCACCTTTCGACTTAGGCTTTGTGGCTTAATCATGAAGCCTTGATTTGATGCAATCTGTCGCTATTCATTTGCTGTAATCCTTCGTCGATGTCTGGGTGAAAACTGTTGGGTTAATACTCTCTGCGTAAACACGTCTCCCGGGAGGCAAAGGTTTATTGCTTGGGGCTGTTCCGTTAGAGAAATATAAAGTGTTCTTGAGTGTTCCGAACACCACGTGCTAAAAATCAAAGTGACCTCTTTGTATCGGACAGTAGTGGTTTTCACCAGTAGCAACTGTTAAAGTAAAGATAGTTTACGAGCAAACGGGTAACCTAGAGGTTAAAGCATTCCCCCATCCCGTGTTCGGGTACACTGTGAAAAGAACCTTTCTGGTACCCCTACTTCGCCATTAAGCCAGGTCATAAATCGAACACATTCACTTACTCCTAGCCTTGCTCCAAGGCTGTACTGAATGTTAAGCCCATGAATGCATAGTAATTCTATGCTTCAATGAGGCAAGTCTAGATAAGCGACCAGTAAGGACGCCATTCTGTTATTTATATTTTTTTTACAGAATTATTTATTCAAACTATTAATTATTACCTTAGAGACTTGCGCAAGTCTAACTTGATCCCTGCAGTGCCGACAGTTGCCATGACAGGTTTTCAGTGGTACTGAGTTTGGACAAAAGGTAGACTCGTCATATACTTCCGTGAGAAAGTAAGGGGGCGTAGTACTGATCATGTCTGATACAGCATTAACTTGTGATCCTTATGGGTTCTGCCTTACTAACACGTGCAGGACGTATGCACACGTCAGTATAGCATGTGTAGGATATCATCTTAGCGTTCTTCAGTACATCATGTATAGGCGATAACTATTGTGTTCTTAGAGAATCTTTCATGAAAGCAGAAACGGCTTTGTAGATGTAGCAGTGACACTTTTGTATGTTGATGAACAAGACGGGGAAGGAAAACGACCCTTTTTAGCCCGCTGAAAATTTCATTATTTATGTTACAGTGAACAAGTAATAATGACATATTAATGCAATGACAAAGTCCCTTTTTTAATTTATTACACTTGCTTTTTTTACGACACCATTTAGTTGAATATGGTGAAAGCCGCGGTGGCTGAACGGGTTAGGCGGCAGACTTTGTGTGTTGGCGATAAGGTGCCACACTTAGTCTCTCGTACAGACCCTGAAGCAAATATATCCAAGAAAGCCCACACAAGTCTAGAAAATGTGACAAGTCTAAGAAAGCCCACTCAAGTCTAGAAAATGTGGCAAGTCTAGATTTCCTCAGATTCAGGAAATGAAGAAAGTCTCAGGGCTCCTTTTCATTATATATATATATATATATATATATTTTTTTACTATGAACGGTTTTTTTCAGTAAAATATGTTCATTTCAGAGACTAGTTGTTAGTCTAGTGCCACACTCTAAGGGTATGGGTTCGAATCCCGGATGGGACTCAGCTCAACAAAAGTACTAGAATCTGTACTTTACTGACAATGTGTAATCCCAAATATAACAAATGTTGTATACATAGTGTTATTTTGTTGAGATCAGGAAGTAGTTGTACTAATAGCATACACTTATGCACTGGGGATAAAGAGTACACCAATCGATGGCTCTTGTCTACACTGTACGTCTCAAAATCCCGAACAGTAGGTGGCGCAGGGCACGTGACCACTGCCAGGTGGCTGTCGTATTACGTAATAGCGTGTAACAAAACGGTGTGTTGAATCTTTTGAACTGATCAATACGAAATTAATTAACGGATTAGTTGTTATCAATGAGTTATCCAATGTCGGTGTCAATTCAAGATGGAGTGCAGCCCAGCTGCTGTGATACAGAGTGAGAATTCCGCTTTGACAATTATGAACACCAAAGAGAGAATGTCGAAAAGCAAATAGCTTAAAATAAACCCCGAATACATTTCCAGCATTAGAAATGGTAGACAGATTTTCCTATCGATTTGCGTATGACAGGATAAGACGAAGCTTGGATATTGAATGATATCTGTTTAGGATAATTTGATAGCCACTATAGCGAGCGGTCATTGATGAAATTATAGTAGAGTGCATTGGTAAACAGCAAGCAGCACCGCAATTATTGCTAGTGTTTATCATGGTAATCTATGGGAGCTGAGTGTCGCAAACAGTTCGCTAATTGGATACTGTTCCACGAGGTATTGATTAAACAGCGTTACAACGGGGCAAGAACAAAGCATATTCACGTCCACGTGATGTGTTATAGCGAATGAGTGGTATATACAACGGAGAAATCGTGTAAGGTACTCCTACTTTATATTCCCTGATTATAGAAACATAGCCCGGGTTAACATGCGTTATAATGAAGGAGGTAGTGATGATTGATACTAAAATGATATTACTGGCATACCGAAGTCAGAATGGGGTGTACATTTCCAGCTCGGATATGAAATGACCTTACGAAGAAATCAGAACCAAACGAGCTGATGCAGAGAATGATCTGATATATGACGTTGAAAGTTTCACGGCGTAACGGGGCAAGACCAATTCGCAAATGCGTAAACATGACATTTTATGGGCAAAATTATATATGTGTAGCAGACTTGCAACCCGACCAAAACCATCGTCTTGATGTGAATAATTTCATAAGCTTTATATCGATGGGTGGCGGTATACACAGAATTGTGATTCTTATGATGTACAATTCATTTTATCAGCTGACTTACGATCAACACCTGACCCTTATTTTCATCGATTCCAGCGTGCCAGATTGCACAACCTAACCAATACTGATCAAAACTCCGAATATTTTGTTTCATATATGCGTCCTAAAGCTGTCAAAACTCAATATTTCATTTACATAGTTGACGAAAAATGTGTGTTTCAATCGCATGTTCTTTCTTTGAAGACACTGTAAATATGGACGATCCCATTAGTGAATCCGATATGTCCGGAGTCATGAGGAAAACTACATATTCATAAACATGGCCATGACTAAAAGCGTTACTAGGTGATGTAGCCTCCAGGAACCCGTTAGCTTCCGTTGTTAGTATTTCACGCCAGCTGCCTAGTATTGAGTGTTTCAGCTGTGAGATCTACAGATGCATGTACACAGGGACATATTAATGGCAGACTGAGCCGTAACGCCGCCTTGTTGACAGGACCTCCACAACCGGTACTTGAAGTGGAATAAATATATTCGATACATCGAAACGACCCCAACTAAACCCCCGAGCCGTCATCCCCATCCCCTGTATTTACATCTCCTACATTTACATCCAGTCCAGTCATGGTAAAAAGAGTCGTGTTGTATTCACCATGAATGCGTATTCTAATAGTTACCATGCAGTCATTTGTTATTGCGTATCCAGTGTACCTATTTAATATCACAATATAATACGTAGGTTACACTGTAAATTAATATTGACAATTTTCTATGAATTCATCTGCACGCTGCATGATCAAAGATTTAAGAAAACAACATGACAACTATATCAAGAAAAACAATTCATAACCCTGATTGGCAAAATAAACAAACCCACGCTTGGGGCAGCATTAATATGACAATATGTTTTATTACTGTTCGGTAGATTAAATATTCCTATATAATTACTCGACATATGCTAAAACGTTCCGATCATGTTGGTTTTCTATCTATATGCAAATCTGGTCGATGCTACAACGTTGAACTCTTACACTTATCATGGTTCGAGGAAAAGGAGACGGGCATCACAGTGAGAATATACCATATCAACCTTGGCGTACATATAAAAACATAGCTGTTCCTGGCGTATAAGACTGTATCCCTTCCCCCTCAAAGGAACCAGCGCGCGTCTATGCTGGATCAAATATATACATTATTTATTCCAATATTATTGACAAATGACAGACACGGCAATATCTACCGTGCCGTTGAAGACACCTTGTGGTGCTGTTATGCGGAAACTGCGAACCCATGCAACAAGTTTCACTCATAATAAACTCAAACAAGAATATTTACAGGATTAACAACAAAATTTACACTGGTTCCAACCAAAAATAGTTCCCGAAGACAGGCAGTGCACTCTCGCAAGAAACGTTCGTAGGGTGGGAAGCTCGTACTAAGATGGTAGTTAAATGGACAAATCTGTGAAATATGTTTAACGGTACTTACCAGGTTTGTAGACAATGACAGTAGCAAAGCGTAGCCGGTGTATTGGATCCCTACTGTCTCTATCCGTCGGTATTCAATCCTTCCAATGGCGTGTTAACCTTCCCCAAGCCAACAAACCTGCCACCCTCATGCTGCCATCACCGGTATTGATCGCCGCTCTTACTGGGGCCGTCCATTTCTGAAAGAGGGGACACAGGTTGTCAAGTGGTGGAAGACATCTCTCGACCGGCTCGTGGTCTGCTATACCTAATTGCCACAAGAAGCCCCGGGCTGGCAACGCCACAGATACCAGCGCAGTGGAATTGGAAAATTTAATCAAATCTCCAGTTCTCCTCCGCTCACCCACTGTTGTTGAGAGCCTTGGATAGCCCGCTCGTGTAGATTTAATTAATTGGCTCGGGCAGAGATGTGTTTTCTAAGGGCTGAGAAATATAACTCTGATATCTTGATTCCTGGGGAGTTGGGATTATACACTGTGTTACGTACAGGTGTTAGATACAGCAGTGTTTACGTATGGATATTTTTAAAAATGATGATTCAGTGATGTAACCATATGAAGTGCTAACGGTAAATCGGGACGTCGTGTCTCGGTATTGACATTAAACAATGACTAATGTAAACATCCGATAAAATGGCACCTCAAAACATTTACTTTAAAAAAACTATAGACCATAGGTTCAAAAATACAGTCAGCGAAAGATGGAAGGACAGAACGGCCTTTAAAATCGCCACATTTACACTAACTGTCTGCATGAATGGCATTAAACAGCATTGGTGGTGCCATTGTCGGATTGGGTAGTTGAAGGGGAGGGGTGAGCCGCGGGGAGGGTGGCGTCTAGTGGGGTCAAAGAGCAGAATTTAGACAACGATCGAGATGTTCAGATAATCAGACAAGACCTAATTGAACATCCCCGCTATACTGTGTATCATATTTCACAAACAGTCTGTGAGCGCATATTTAGGAACGTCATTACAGATAAGAACCAGGCAAAATTTCAGCATAATAGGCGTCTGGCATCAGAGAAAAATCTTACAGTATTGAAAACGGACGATACGATAACATTGCTCAATAGGTAAAACCTTTCACTTCCTTAATCACGTGGTATTAGTCTGAATTTTAGATCCCATAAATGAATTTCGGTTTATATTCAGATTTACCGATACTTATTGTCGACCAAATCTGTCCGATCTGTATGCCTCGAGATGTCCGCACATAGCAGTATCTACCAGGACGTGCAATATGTGTTATAACAGTACTCTTCATGCATTCCTACGTTAATAATACTATTTCCCTGTCCACTTATCATACCAATGTCTGGTTGAGAGTTACATGAAAGAAGTGAAAACCAGTCTTCTTCCATCTAGTAATTACGACTGTCAGCGCCATGATCTATAGTCGGCGACAAAATTGTAGCAACGACATACCGACAACTAGTCATGTTGCCAAATGGGACGTTTAGTGCATAGATACTGCTCGCTACGCGACTAATGAACACTTAGACTCTTGACGTCCCTTTTTTACGTATGTGAGTTATTTCTTATTTTCACCAACCCGTAAACGGTGTTGATGACGTTGTATAGCGAGAAGAGTGAGTGTTTATGGTTTTACGCCGCTTTTAGCGATGTTCAACCAATATCGGGCGGGCGACACATATAGCGAGAAGATAAAAATAACTATTGTTTTGTTTGTTTGATGTAAATATTCGAGTCTGTACCAGAAAATCCAGTGATTGAGCATAGAAATTTGAGCTATAGGATTACGATTACCCGCATTGACCTGTTCCGTGAGTCTGACTACCTTATCCCGTTAGTCGCCTCTTATTACACTCGTGTCTGTTTTTAGACTAACGTGGGGTGGCCTAGTGGTTAAAGCGTTCGCTCGTCACGCCGAAGACTCGGGTTCGATTCCCCGCATAGGTACAATGTGTGAAGCCGATTTCTAGTGCTCCCCGCCTTGATATTGCTGGAATATTGCTAAAAACGGCGTAAAATTATACTCACTCACTCATTGTTAAGACCAATTCTAACCCGGGTCTTCACAGGTTCCTAAAAGCGCCATGAAAACAAAATGAATGTTTTATGCTCTTTAAGTCACATCTGCTACAGTTACACTTCATGCTTCGCAACACACACAACGCATTCACTATATATTGTGCTCGGATGAATATGATCATTGAGACAAAAATATATAATTGAATTAAAATTGATAAAATATTAAAGTGAATGTTTCATCTTATCCGACCAATTAGAACTGAAATAGCATATGGGTACATTAAGCTTCGGAGACGCTATTGTGTTCATTATCTTCTCATCAGAAGCGTGTGTAACATTAATTTATTCCGCAAAAAACTAAAGTATCAATTCTCTTTGTAATAAATAACAGTCCAGTTTCCAGAAATCAACGTCTGGTCAATGACTGTTTCATATTTCAACATTAATTCATATTTAATAACTGTTTCACATTAAATCGACTTTTTTCTACAACACAACTTCCAGTTTGGGAAATTGTGCATTGGTCGGCGTTGGCTCGGCTGATGTTAAGCATTCTACATGCGACATAAACTCCCCTGCTTGCCCCGACTCGAAGATAATTGAATCAAAACCCATTCTCAGAGAGGGTGTTAGTGTGAAATGTCAAGGAGAAAATCAAATTCAATCTTGTGGGCTCAGGTCCCAAATCCCATTTATGAAATAAGCCAGAGAGAGCATTTGTGTCTCTCACATGTAACATCAATGCTATTTGAGCATTCTGTGCCTATTTTATGTACATAGTGATATTTCCGACAATAACCTGCATTTCACCGTTAAAACTCTTTACACTGTAGGGGATGTTAATGTATATCGTAAAATGGTATATATAAACACATTAAAATGTTTTTAAAACATTAACGCCTATCAGATAATGACGAGGCATGGTAGCACAAATGCATCTGCCACAATAGCACATGAAGCTGAGAGTTAAACCGAGTGTGTGGAACATGTGTGCGGAAACAAGCATATTTATTGATTATCAAAGTTAGGATGTCTGAGATATCCTTTAGAAGTAGTGTGTATCATGCGAAATATTTTGTGAAATTGTAACTTTTAAATCATTTTTTGCATTAAAAATTAAAAACCGTTTTAGGAGCATCATTAAAAGAGTGCTGATTACATGCAGGAACAGTTCACTTGAGCAAGATGTTTTCAGTTTCTTTGAGAGGCATTTTAGAAGTTGTGAAGATGAAGGAAAACTAAGTTCTATGGATAGTCAACTTCTTTATTGCAATGAGTGCGACGTTTCGGTGTAGGTACTAACACCGTTTACGTTTCGGTGTAGGTATCCCTTGCTTGATAACGGTGTTAGTACCTACACCGAAACGTCGCACTCATTGCAATAAAGAAGTTGACTATCCTTAGATTTTTGTTTTCCTTCATGTTTTCAGTTGAAAATCAAAAGTATATGACCGACTGAGAGATAATAGTTTCTTTTGTGAGTGAGGGAATATGGCCTTACGCCGATTTTAGCAATATTCCAGCAATATCACACCAGAAATGGGCTTCAAACGTTGTACCCATGCGGGGAATCGAAACCTGGTCTTCGGCGTGACAAGCGGACGCTTTAACCATTAGGCTACCCCACCGCTCCGCCCCATATCGCATAGGAACATACGCAACAACAAAAGAACAACTATCTCTCGCGTCCGATATTACATAGATCTACAACTAACATACAAACTTTACATTGTAGACATTTTGCCATGTGGATCTGAAGACAACCATCGAGTACTCTTTTCACTCGTTTTTCAATAGCACAACGGGAAAGTTCGCCACGATATAGCAGTAACCGTTCAACTATTTCTGTAAATCCTCCAGTTTCAAAACTGAGTTCTGCAGTGTTTTGAGCCTAGGTCCAGATGCTGTGTGAAACAGACATTGTTTCAACACGTGGTTAGCTTAGTGAGTCTGAAATTATGTTAATTGATTTAAATCGGCGCTCCTTTATCAATGTCCGCGGTTCACTGTTAGAAATCCAGTTTATGTGAATTGTATATATCAAGAGGCACCCAAGGCAAATAATGGCGCGAAAACTTAGGGGAGTGATCCCACATGTATAATTACATTTTCTACATTAGCGATAGTTGGACCGAGTCCAAAATGGAGATGGTTTCCGTCATATCGAAGTCTCATCAAATCTCGTACATTCTCATCAAATCCCGTACATTTAATCACAGACTCAATCACACAAATCCTAGCTTGACCTAGCAGTAGAGATCAAATGTTGCAAAAGAAGGAATGGGAATTAAACGGACCAAGATGTTTATTGCTACAAATGATGGATTATCAAAAATGACAGCCTTCTCAGAAAACAGGTAATTGTCACGGATTGAGACTTGTACATCGTTAAGATTGCTATAGCGCATTTACTATGGCATACGTCCTTGACATTTGAGTCTAGTGAATTTATTCAAGTTGAAATAAAGCCGTATACTTTGGTAATTACTGGCAAAGTTATACTTTCTGGAATATTAATGATTGCTGAGAAGAGCATATCTGTCTCTCTAACGAATATAATTGGGATCTACCGCATGGCACGTATATGTAATTGTGATTATGCAACAAATGTATCATTATGGTACATTCAGTCAGTCACAAAGCTTTATACACGTGCGGCTTCAAGAATCACAAACTGTAGGATCTTGTGAGATATAAGGCAATACACAATCGTTGGTGGTGATACGCATGTTGGGCAAATCTTGACCGAGAAACCAGCAGTTTGTCTCAAAACATTGAAAAATGTAAGATTCTTGACTGAAACACTCAGTGATAACCAACCAACCAACCAACCATCAATCCATCCATCCATCCATCCATCCATCCAACCAACCAACCAACCAACCAAATAATCAATCAACCAACCATATTTTGAACACAGGAATAGGCAAGCTAGCAAGCTAGTACTGTGATGTGAGCAATTCGTGTTACATTCACTAAGATACGTGTATTGTTTGGTAGTGAGTGACTTGAGTTCAACGCCGCTAGGTTTGGAGTAATAATGGGAAAGGTAAAATACATGTACTTAACTCGACCACTCGAGACAGACTGATAATCAATCAATCAATCAACCAGAACCGGTTTTCGCGATTCCCATCTTAGGCGGAGTGTTCAGATTTATCGTACGGTAAAGGTATCCGCTCTCTA